TGTTCTAGAAGCATTATTCATAAGAGCTAAAAGATAGAAAAACCCAAATGTCTGTTGACAGATGAGTGGATGAACAAAATGTGGTATATACACATAGTAGGACAGTATTGAGCCACAGAAACAATGAAATACCGATAAATACTAAGACAGGGGTGACCCTTGAAAACATTTCTGCTAAGTGGGAATAGTGAGACACAAAAGGTCCTATGTTGTACAATTCGACTTACATCTAGTACCACCGAAAAGTGGAATAGAGGCCCCTGGGGGTTGAGGGGGGAGGGGAGAATGGGGGAGTTACCATTTCCTGGGTATGGAGTTTCTGTTTGGGATGATGGAGAAGTTCTGGACATGGGTGGTGGTGATGGTCGCACATCCTCATGAATGTACTTACTGCTACTGAATTATGCACTGAAAAATGGTTAGCATGGTACATTTTATTATGTCTATTTTACCACAAGTTTTAGAAAGCAAAAAAAAAAAAAAAGTCAAGATTACAGACTTTTTACAAGTCTTTATTATGTGATATTTAAACCACACTTCCTGTCTTCTGGTTTCGGGAGGCAGTCCTGTGGCTGGTTGGGAGATGGCCAGGGGACGAGGTTACAGCCCCTTCTCTGCTTTGCTGATCCGTTTGTGTCTCGTAGTCAGGCTCATCCAGATTTGGAAGTGACTGGGACTTGGGGGCACTTGTGCTCCCCTTTGTCTGAGGCTGGAATAGGGGACCACTTGGTGGCCTTTTGTTCCTGGAATTGCTGATACCCTGTATGGGTGATTCTGTTAGTTTTTTACTTAAAATCCCTTCCCCGTTTCTTCTTTGACTTAACAGAACCTTGATTTTGCTCTGGGCCACGGATGTCCTCTGGGTAATGGATCGTGAGTGATGAAGCCACTCTTGACATTCTCTATCTCTATTCCTCTTGGTTTTCTGGGATTACTTACCCTTGCCTGAAAAAAGGGGTAACAGAGCTGGTTTTATCTTGTCCTGTTTCTTCTCCGATTGTGGCTGTGATACCCAGGGTGGTGGCAGTCCTCTGGGACGGGGGTGAAGGTCAAGAGGTTGGAGATTCTGCCGGTGACAGTGCCTTTGAGGCAGCTGTCTACCTGCAGACTAAGTCCACGAGAAAAAGAAGCCTTTCTTTGTTTACAAGGAAGGAGCCTAGTTCCTTGTAGTTGGGTTTTCTGTTTTCTCATTGAGCAATGCTGTTTTGTTTTTATTTCTTCCTGAGGATGCATTTGCCACTTGTACGCCCGTAGGCACACCCCAGTGCCGGGAGCGTTGCCCCTCCTCTGAAATGATTGTCAGGTGACAGAAGAATGCACCCTATCTCACTGCATCAGGCTTCTGGTCGCAGGTGACAGCTAGTCACTTGGAAAACAAAGAGCATTTCCTAACTTAAGTAACTAAGAAAACTGGAGGGTGAACAGGCTTCAGGGGCTCAGCATCCCCTGCATCGGTCTCTGTGTCTCTGTCCTGCCTCTGACCAGGTGGGTGTCCTGTCCAGGTGGGAGTGCTCTACAGGAAAGGGAGGAAAAGGGCCCAGTGGCTCCAGGCTTACATGTTTATCTGAGCTCCTACTTCTAGAACAGTGGACGGCAAGCTGCCTCCTTAAGGGATCAGATGGGAAGTATTTGGGCTCTGTGGGCCATGGGTGTCTGTAGCAGCTTCCCAGCGACGACTCTGTAGTGGGAAAGCAGCCGCAGGCAGTGTGTCTGCAAATGGCCATGAGTCTTCCGATAAAACTTCACTTACAAAGACAAGTCGTGGGCCAGGTTTGGCCCTTAGACTATTGTTTGCTGACTTCAGTTCTCGAGGGAGCCAAGGTCTCCCCTTTAGTGGTTCAGGTAGAAGTTGCGGGAAGAACCCTGTGGTCTGGAGCGGGGACCAGGCTGAGACCGGTGAGGCTCTCAACGCAGCCAGGGAATTTATGGGAACACCAAGAAACTCAGCAATCAAGAGACCTAACGTTTTCATGCAATATTTTTAAAAAGTCAAAATTAATGCAGAAAAAAACCGGTGACACTCAAAATAACAAACAGGGTCAGGGGAAGGGTAGGGTGAGCGAGGCGGGTTGCCGCAACACCCCCTGCTCGGCCCGGTGACAGCCTAGAGTTTGGTGGTGCTGAAGGCAGCTTCACTGGGAACCAGATGGAACGCGGTTCTCCTAGGAAGGAGGGACGCAGCTACTGGAAGAAGGGGGAAGGGTGCTGTTTGCTCGCTGTGCTGCCTCAGTGCGAAGCACTTTACCACGTATGTTTTCTCATTTCCTCCCCCTCATCACAAACATCAAAGGTAGATACTGCAACCCCCATTTCACAGATAAGGAAAATGAAGGACAAAATAAGTTGCCCAAGGGCACACAGCGCCTGAACTAGAACTCGAGTCCCAGTTTTTCTTTTTTTTTTTTTAAGATTTTATTTATTTATTTGACAGACAGAGATCACAAGTAGGCAGAGAGGCAGGCAGAGAGAGAGGAAGGGAAGCAGGCTCCCTGCTGAGCAGAGAGCCCGATGCGGGACTCCATCCCAGGACCCTGGGATCACGTCGAGTCCCAGTTTTTGTCCTCCAGAGTATGTCGGCATCTGTTATGGCCCAAGGCCTGTTAGAAACTTCACCAGAAGGCCTGTGGTGTTAGTCCCCCTCTGTGAACAGGTGCCCCCGGAGTTGACTGGCCTCAACAGCCCCTTCATGGCTCTTGTTCGTGTGGGCAGATGGCGTTTGGGCGTCCGGAGAACCAGAAGCCCTCACCCTCTTCTGGAATGAGCCCCGGTTTCACAGCAGTAAGAGATCGGTTTATTGCCCCAAATTAAATTACGGACACTGCGAGTGTTAAGTGGCACGTGAGCTGCACTTGAAATAGACCCCATTAGTGCTGGCAGTGGAAGTGGAGCCCTGCTGGGATAATTCTTATCATCGCCAGCATCGCTTTGGCAGGCTGTAGAGGGATTCTGTGGCGCTAAGCAATTGGCGAAATTGAAAGGTGAAAACACACGTTAAGTGTTTCGTGTGCATTCAAGGTCAGAGGGAGGTCACCCTGGTTCTCCAGAAAGACCCGATGCAGGTGAGAGTCACCTGCTTTGAGTCATGATGGAGATACAGGTGGTTGTTCAGCATGTTTTGAAACAAAGCCCCCGTCCTGGTTTCTGAGAAAAGCACTGAGTGGAAAAAAGGCCGTTCCGCATTTGTGTGGTCTCGGCTGATCTCCTGGGCCTGGGAAGGGGATTCATGTGGCATTTCGGGATTGAGACAGGTCGTCTTGAGTGAGCTGCCTTGTTGGCTTTCCCAGTCATTCCCGAGGTGTAGATTCAGACCCACCCCAGCGGCTGGCTGGATCCGCAGACGTGCGCACGCGTGCATGCAGTTGCTGTTAACAGGGAAGGGAGAAGAGGAAACAGCATAGCTGCTCTCGTGCGAGACGGTCGTCAGTAAGCTGATGGCGGCCGGTCATCATGGCCTGGCCTTCGTGCTCAGGCTCTGCTTCCCATTTCTCTAGTCATCCCAGTATCTCTGGGTGGGTCTGTACTTCGGGGCTCATTTGGAGGGAGAGGAATCTGGAGCATAGCCCGGCTGCCAGGGTCATTCTCTGGATTGCTCTCTTCACCCTCGCCCAGCCCGCTGCACTGGAAGCTTTGTTATGGACCGACCCTCACTGTCTGCCTGGTAGTCCCCAGCTTTGCCAAGTCTGTGGCCCCCATTAAGAATGCAGTCCATGCTAACTGAGCTGAACTGACTTATTCGAGTGAATTTACTAACCAGGTATCTAATTTATGAAGATGTGTGTGTTTCCGTTCTTTTAGAAGGAAGGTTGAAGGGTCTGTGAGTCTGTATAGCTTCTGGATTTGAATCCCCATCTGGCAGCAAAGACTCAGCAGTGTCTCTCCCTTGGGATATTGAGCAGTTGTGAACACGATCATCTTGAAGAGGGTAGAGCCCTCCGTCCCCGCACAGTCTGTCCCAGTTAGTGCTTTGCCGTCAGGTAGCTCCCAGGTCCCATGCTGCCCTGCTGCTTACTAACTGCCCGTCACTGGGTGCAGTCACCCTCCTTGGCCAGGCCTCGGCCCTGGTCTTTGATAGGGGGCTGGCCTTGGTGCTTATGAAGACTGAGGTCTGATGTCAAGTCTTGAGGGCAGGGGAGGATAGTGGCTAGTGCTCCGCCCACAGTAGCAGGGCTTGCTGGTGGTGCTGGTGTTGCCAGTGATCGTTGGGAGCGTGGGAAAGGTTCGATGAGCATATGTGAAGAAAATAGGTCACAAGATGAGGTATATACTAGAGTGAAAATTATGAAGATCTCTGTGCGTGTAGATGAAAAAGGTGGGATGGGAGGAGATCCAATAAACTACCTTGTGGATAAAAAGAAACTTTTTTAGCTTTCCCTTAAAGGCTTAAATCTGTTCCTGTTCTCAGGCATATGGACATCTTTTCTAAGGAACTAGAAATGAGGACAGTTATGGACAAGGAGGTTCAAAGCAGTACATAGGGAAGGTTGGCAATACATCGTGTTCCCAGAGGTAGAGAAATGGTTAAAATGTGTTTCATTGGGAGGCCATCAAAAGCCATGTTTTCAAACAGCTTTACTTTTTTAGAAATTTTTCAAAAGATTTTTTTTTTATCTGAGATAAAACGAGAGTGAGAGAGAGGGAGCACGAGTGGAGGGGAGGAGCAGAGGAGAGGGAGAAGCAGATTCCCCGCTGAGCAGGGAGCCTGACGTAGGGCTCGATCCCAGGACCCTGAGATCATGACTGGAGCTGAAGGCAGATGCTTAAAAGACTGAGCCACCCCGGTGCCCCCGTGTTTTCAAAGATCTTTAAGTGTTACGGGGAAACGTTCATGATCTAGACAAGTAAAGAAACAAACCCGGATGTAAAATTACACTCTTTCTATCTTTCTTCTCTGTGCTAAAGAAGTAACTTTTTTACGCTCCTGAAAAATGCCTCGGGACTGTCACTCTACAACGACGTGCATCCCAGGCCAAGAGCCACCGTGCCCGTCCCTTTCTCCGCAGAGCCCGTGTTCTGGTTCTACGTGAAGGAAGTCCTCAGCAAGCACGAACTGCCACGCTTCTACTCCCTGCGCCACATCGCGTCGGATGTGGGCCGCGGCCGGGCCTGGCTGCGCTGTGCCCTCAACGAGCACTCGCTGGAGCGCTACCTGCACATGCTCCTGGCCGACCGCGGCAGGCTCAGGTACCGGGGTGGGCGTCCAGGGGGAGGCGCAGCCGACGGGCCAGAATCGCAGCGTCTGAGCGCCTGTGCTTGTATCCCAGTCTCCTTGTCGGGGGCACGCGGGTTCCCCTCTTACAGTCCCAGCATATTCGGCTGTGCTGGGGGCACAGAGGGTTCGAGAATGAGCGAGGGAATGAATGCTCATAAAGGGCTCAGTGTGGCACCTGCATACGGCAAGTTCTCCATAAGTGCTTGTGATTGAGGTGTGGGCTGTGGGGAGCACTGCCGTCCCAGGGTACAGCCAGCTCTCATTTGGTGCAATTTTAGTTTGGCCTCCTTTCAGACCCAGTTTCTTTCTCGGTGGAAATTGGGTGTTTAGAGCTCAGTTTTGTGTCTGTCTTAACTTTGTGCTGGGTTCTTTACAATTCCTTCTGTGTTTTTGAGGTTAATTCAGCCCCAAACTGACTGAAAGAAATAGGGAAACTTTGCGCTGGGGAGTGAAGTCAATTGTTATTTAAAAACAACAAAAACAACAGTTTTATGACGTTTCCCTTTTTGTTTCCCTTTTTTTCTTGATCGTAAACAGACAGCTCACCCTATCCGTTAGTGGAGGTCAGTTTATGCTGCTACAACAAACAGCATAAAACCCTCCGTGGCTTGCGACAGCCACCTTTTCTTCTTCCTCCTGTTACGTGTCTATCACGGATACGTCGGGCTTTCCCGTCTCAGGGTCCCAGGGTGACAGAGGTTCCGTCTTGACAGATGCTGTCATGATTGCCAAGGTAGGAAGAGGGACGTGGTTGAACTGAGCACTGGCTTTTGAAGCTTCTGCACAGGGAGATCCTTCACTTCCACCCACATTTCACTGGCTGCGAGTCACATGGCCACAGCCCAGCTCCGCAAGGTGGGGGTGTGTGGCTGTCGCCTAGCCGTGGGGGAAGGGCACTGATTATGCATCAGCCGTGGTACTGTCAGCCACGTTCCTTTCAGAAACATGTGACAGTGCTGTCATTTTCCTGTATTCGTGATGTTAGCAGTGACTCTGTCTCTGTCAGTGGCTATTACTTACTGCTCGAGAGTAGTGGACTAGACGTGTCGCTTTGTGTCCGCCGACGGTGCAAAGGGACAGTGATCAGTCCTGTGCTGGTTCCTTGAGTAGCTTACACATTAGCAGTGCCCAGATCCTCAACAGTGAGGATTTAATTTCAGCGAATTAATTTAATTTAGTCCAATAAGATGGCATTTCATTCATGCCGTGATGCAGTCCCATGATTTTACATGCTGTTGTGCATCCCCTGGTTTGTCTCCTCTTCTGTTTTTTGTGCTGCTCGTGGTCACCTGGCTACCAGCAGCTTGTTAGGTGTTCTGGATTGTGCATGAGGACTCCTGAAGTTCTCCCATTGATGGTACCTGTGGTGCCCTGTCCGGCTGCGTGCTTGGACTCTGGGTCTGACATGGAAGGCATGGGGGCCGGGACTGCTGTGCTCACTGCACCCCTGTGCTATTTGGATGTCTGGGTGCACCCCCCGGGCCTTAGGCAGTTTTAGTTGACGAGAACATTCTCCTGAATCTTACAATGAATTTTTTTTCTTTCCTTGTTTCTTTTAAAGATTCTATTTATTTGACAGAGAGAGAGAGAGAGGGAGGGGGAGACAGTGAGCACAAGCAGGGAGAGCGTCATAGGGAGAGGGAAAAGCAGACTCTCTGCTGAGCAAGGAGCCCAATGTGGGGCTTGATCCTGGGACCCCGGGATCATGACCCGAGCTGAAGGCAGACACTTAACTGACTGAGTCACCCAGGCGCCCCTACAGTGAATTTTCATGAAGCTCTTTCCAGTAGATCATTTGCAAGTAGTTCAGGGATGTACAACTCAACACCAAGGTCGACTAGAACAACGAGCCATCAAAGTGAATCCAGATATTATCACAGTAGAACTCACCCAGATCACTAGCCACTTACCTACCAAGATGTGGGAAAACCAGATTCATTCACATGCATGGAAATGGGCTCCGATTCTGAAAGCATCCCAGTCTTGGGAATTGGAATGGCAGTGGCAGTGCCAGCTTTAATGTGTAGTCTGCACTCGGGCCGACGCTCTGCTGGGTGAGTGCATTGGAAGTGGGGCGTTCCTGTTCTGTCAGTGCTCTCAGTCACTTCTGCAACGAATGCGTCCCGTCCCCTGCTGCACTGCAGGTCCCTGACCACTCACTGTGCTCTAGCCATGTGAGCTTTGACTGCATTGAGAGTTCTTTGACCTGGTAGGGAAGTCAGGGGTTGAAGATGCTTGCTTGCTACTGCTTAGCAGGTGTCGGATACAGAACTGGGGAACCGGCCGGGGGCCCCTGTCTCAGAGCCCTGGCCGGACCATCATTGCCGGCGAGCTTGGACAAGCCCTGTAGTCCTTGCTGACCCCTTTCCTTCTACTGCCCTTGAGATTCATGGGCCCCTTTTAGCTCCCCAGCCCTTTCCAGGGGTAACTTGGGCTTTAGGTCTGCAGCCCAAGCAAGTGTTACACACAAATGCTCCAGCTGATGGAGCCATGGAGCTCTGTCGTTGTTTCTGAGATTGTCTCTTGTGGTAGCCCAGGCATGGCTCCCAGGGGTCAGCTCAGATTTCCTGCCTGTGTCTTAGAGACCTTGCTAGACTGGATGCCACCTCTCTTCTCCTTTGCTGCTTCGTCAATAACTGCATTTACATTTCATGCCTGTTTCAGTTCACTCAAGCTCGGGACCAATGAGGAGGTTGTAGGATATGTACTTTCAATCCTTTGTTTATTACCGGAAGCTTCCTCTGGGCAGAGACCTTGGATCTCCATCTGGCTGACTAGGCATGGCTTTTCCAGGGAGCCGTGAGAGGGAGCTGTCTGGCTGATGGATGCTGAGAACCGCTGCTCAGAACTTCCCCCTTTCTCTTTCAATTTGCAGTGCTTTTTATGAAGACTGGTCCTTTGTGATGGATGAAGAAAGGTCTAGCATGCTTCCTACCATGGCAGCTGGTAAGCCTGGTGCAGGCCAGGAGTGACGGGTCCTTGAAGCTTGGAGAGCAGAGTCGGCTGCCTGGGAGGGAATTTTTAGCTCCAGGAGAGGCTGTGATTTTCCCTGTTGCTCCCCGACTCAGTGAGTCACTTGTCACTGTCCTTTTTTTAGTGGCGTGGGTCACTGAGTCCACTTATCTTGAACTGGATATCCTGGCAGGGAAAGCATAGGGTTGGGGGTTTTGGCTGTGGCTTTGCAAGACCTGGGGAATTGGAAGCGGGAGGCCTGGCTTTGAAGCCTGGCTCTACCCTTTCCTGGTTGGTGACCTGGGGGCAGGTCCTGTGAACTCTGTCACCCTTATTTCCCTCCTCTGCCGAGTGGTGACCCTGTTAGCATGGGACTCACTTTTATAGGGCTATAAGAGAATCAGGTGTGGTGAAGAGTCACGTCCACGGTTTGTCAGTGTGGAAGCCCCTGGATGGATGTTAGTCACTGAATCGTTCGGTGGTTTATCGTTTGCCTCTCACTCAAAGGGTGAGCCCAACAGAAGTGGGTACCTCGCTTCTTTCTTTCACAAAAGAAAGAAAAAGCCCTTCCCTGGAGGTTTACACTAAGTCCCACATATCGAGAGTTACGTTCGTCTTGTCCACTGAGGAGAAGTGAGGCTTTGATAGTGATGTCCTGGGTAGGCCAGTGCAGGGTTTTGCCCGAAGTAATAATAGTAATGATATTGGTGCCCACGTTTGAGTGCTTACTGAGCTGAGTGTTTTGGTGAGTGATTGTCTTTAATACCCTGTGTAAGAGACACTCTTGTCCCCATTTTACAGGTAAGAAAACTAAAGCTAAGGTTGTACGTGACTTGACCCAGTTCTCCTAGAAAGCGGCAGTGCGGGGATCCCACCCAGGCCGTCTGAGCCCAGAACTTATGTCTTAACCTCCCTGGGGTTGACTTCTTATTTGTCTTTGACCGAGAGGGAGAGAATTGGGAAAGACTCACCTGCTGTGATAGCTGGTGTCTCCTGACCCCATTTTGTGGGAGGTGTTTTTTTTTTTTTAATTTATTTTTATTTTTTAAAGATTTTTAAAATTTATTTGACAGAGAGAGACACAGCGAGAGAGGGAGCACAAGCAGGGGGAGTGGGAGAGGGAGGAGCAGGCTCCCCGCTGAGCAGAGAGCCCGATGCGGGGCTCAATCCCAGGACCCTGGGATCATGACCTGAGCTGAAGGCAGACACTTAGCTGTCTGAGCCACCCTGGCGCCTCTTGGGGAGGTTTTTAAATCAGGGCTTCAGATCAGGGCGTCCCCTCTCGTGTATTGTATCGTTTGCCGCTCACTTACCGTGTTGGAGGTGTGACTCCCCGTGGCCGACACTCCAGACTTTTCCCTCTTCTGGGCAGGTCTGAACTCCATCCTCTTTGCCATCAACATCGACAACAAGGATTTGAACGGACAGAGTAAGTTTGCTCCTACCGTGTCAGACCTCTTAAAGGAGTCCACGCAGAACGTGACATCCTTGCTGAAGGAGTCCACGCAGGGGGTGAGCAGCCTCCTCAGGGAGATCACAGCGTCGTCTGCTGTCTCCATCCTCATCAAACCCGAGCAGGACACTGACCCCCTGCCCGTCGTGTCCAAGCACGTCAGCGCCGGTGAGCGGGAACAGGTGTGGGAGTTTGAACCAAGGGGTCGGGTCGAAGGATGGCAGGCCGTGGCCGAGCGGGACACACCTCGTGGGCTGAAAGCACCAAGGGAAGGCTCATGCCCTTGGGTTTTCAGTTTGCACTTGTGTTTATTTTTCTTCTCCTCACTCACTCCGAAAGGGACTGAGAGCCTTGCTGAGATGTGAAGACGATAGGGCTGGGAGCACATTCAGCTCACCGACAGCAAAATGACCGTGACGGTTTCTTGGTCACATGAAGCCCCATGAGCCTGATCTCCGTTCATTTGTTCCTTCCTCCATTCATTCATGTGTTCGTTGACTGCAGTCTGTGTGCTGGGCAGTGAACTAGGAAGATCTCTAGCGTTTAGCCTGCAGGCTCTTCTGGGTTGGGGGACGATAGATATTTAATGACAGATTATACAAATAAGTAATTATCCTTCTGATAAATGAGATGCACGCCAAGCACGGGGTGCTGTGGAGATCGTGCACTGTGGGGGGGGGTGACATTTCAGTGGAGGCCAAGGGGAAGGGAGGAGTTGTCAGCTTCGACTCTAGGCTGGGGACGCCAAAGAAAGTTGATTTAGTTAAGATCCATTTTGTGACAACTTTGTGATATGCCTTGAGCCTTCTGGGAGATCCAGAATGTTGCTATAGCAAAAGTGGAGATTTTGGGTTTAAGTACGTAGTGCTAGTATTCGCAGATCTCTTTAACAAGGCAGTCATCATGGTTGTCTCCTTGGAATTATTAGTGATGGTGAAAACTCAGAGTCTTGTGGGGTCTTTATCCATCTTGTCCTCTCCTCCTCCAGTAGAGACGCCAGGCAAAGGACACAGGAAAGAGGACTGTGAGGGCTTTGGTGTGACAAAGATGTTGGAATTTGTATACCCAAGGAGTGTCCTTTTCACCGCTTTTGACACTGTCTCAGAGTCTGATACGCAGGCGAAGCCTCACCGTGTCACAGCTTGGCTTCGATGGAATGGAATGTCTGGAATCAGCTCAAAGTATCTCATGGCCAAGTTGGACGATTGCGATGGGTGAACTGACTTCTATAAGTACTGGTCACCAGAGCACCGTTGATTTCGGTTTCAGTTTAGTCTTTATTGTGTAACAGCTCCAAAATGTAGTGGCTTGAAACAGCCACGATATATTATTATTTTTTTCATCAGTCTCTGGGTTAGCAAGATGGCTCACTGATTCCCCTGGAATCCCTCGTGGGGCTGCCCTGAGCTGGTGGCTGAGGCGGAAGGTCCAAGATGGTCCCGGTTCCATGGCTGGATCGTAGTGCTCACTGTCGGCCGGACATCTGTTTGTCTGTACCTGACCTCTTGTGCTCCAACAGGCTAGACTGGCTTCCTTCCTAGGGAGTTTCAGGGCCGCATTCCGGGGGTTCATCCCCTCCTCGTGCCCGGGCTCGTGAGCTCCCCGTGAACTCTGCTGCGAGCTATTGGCGAAACCCGAGCACTGAGCCAGCCCACAGCCCAGACTGGAGAAGGAGGTGCTACCCTCAGTGGGAGCAGCAGCGGCGTCCCTTTGCACGCAAGGATGGACTGTGCCTGCTGAGCTGTTGGCCGCCACCCCAAACGCTGTTGTTGGCTCCATCCATCAGCCAGGAGGGTATTTTCCCAAGTGAAAGTCACTTCCGGAATGGGAACTCCCTCTGAATCAAAGTGCTTGCAAGGGACGATTGTTATGTATGCTCTGTGGCACGTTGGTTTAAATCAGAAGCAGAGTCCCACATCCATTTTGCTCAGTGTCCTGTAGACAGGTTGTGTGTGTGTGTGTGTGTGTGTGTGTGTGTTTTTCCCTAAGAATTAAAAAAAAAAAATCTGAAATTATCTCATTTATTTTTCAGGAGAGTAGTAGAGGATTTTCCACAATCTAGAAGCAAAAATGGCTCAATCATGGCTTCGTCTGCTCTTCTTATACCATATCTTCTTTTGCCAGATGCCAAATGTAGAAAGGAGCGGAAGAAGAAGAAGAAGGTGACCAACATTATCTCTTTTGACGATGAGGAAGAGGAGCAGAACTCTGGCGATGTTTTTAGAAAGATCCCCGGGGCCGGGGAGAGCTCAGAGGAGAACTCCGACCGCTCCTCCGTCAATATCATGTCGGCGTTCGAAAGCCCCTTCGGGCCGAATTCCAACGGAAGTCAGAGCAGCAGCTCGTGGAAAATCGACTCTCTGTCCCTGAACGGGGAGTGTGGGTACCAGAAGCTCGACGTGAAAAGCATCGACGATGAAGATGTGGATGACAATGAGGATGATGTGTATGGGAACGTGTCGGGCAGGAAGTGCCTGGGTCACTCGGGCTCACCCGAGAAGTGAGTGTCGCTTGAGCTTCTAATGAAGGCTGGCGCGTGAATGGCTTTATATTTCCGCAGCAGCGGGTGAAGTCCGAGCCCACGGTTCATGTGTGTGTCGGGCGTCGCTCGCTTTTCTGATCGTGACTGAGGCGGAAGGAGCCTGAGCTTATACTGCCCCTCCGAGAATAAGCAGGAGGGAAGGGCGTCTGTTGGAGGGTACCGAGTATGAAGTTGGTGCCAAGATATGTGCCTTGAAATTCCTGCTTTCTGTGTTTCTTTGTTTTTGCTGCTTGGATATTCCTTGTATCTCCACTGCTCCTAGCACAGGAAGCTCTGGCGAGAGGCAGGGTTATTCTAGAGAACAGCGGCCCCCTGGCACTTTCTGTTTATCATCCTGGGTGTGCACAGCAGGAACTCGCCTGCGTTTGCTGCTTTAACCCTGGTGGCGCAGTGGATGGTGTTCATGGAAGGGCCTTGATGCGCGAGAAGGCCTAAGGCAGAAGAGCATAGTTTAGAGTGTGGGTCTTGGAATCAAGACAGCCTGGGTTCTTGCTGCCTAGCTCTGTGGCTTAGGTTGGACAAGCTTACTCCCAGAACCTCATCGGAGACCTGGGAGAAAAACAGCACCTGCTTTCCGGAGTCGTGGTTGAGTTGCTGGCATGCCGCCGGTGGGCCTTTGGCAGCACGAAAGAACACAGGTTGGTGCTGCCGCTCTTGCTGCTCTGTAAAAACTCCTGTGCTTCTCTTACTCGGAATGCCACGTGAGCGGCTGCCTCTTTGCCTGGGCCTTGCGGTGCCCGGTGCCATCTGTCACGGCCGGCGTCAGGCAGGCATCAGGCCTGCGTCAGACAGACCCAGCCGGAGACCCTGAGGCAGGATGCAGGGCCCGGTGTCTCTGGCCCTAAGCTTCTGATGTCCCGTGTGTTCTCATAGAAGTCTTCTTCTTCTTCATGAAGCGATGCCTGTTTCTTTCTTTCTTTCTTTTTTTTTTGCGATGCCTGTTTCTGATTCCTGCTGTCGTCCTCATTCACACGGGTACCCGTATTGGCAGCGTGAGCTCATTGATCTTCTGTGGGAGGTGCTGCACATACCTGTGGCGACAGCGGGAACTGGCCTGGGGGGTCAATGAGCACCCCGTCTTTATGGATGGAAGAAGGGGATTCCTCAGAGAGCGGAGATTTGTCCGAGCAGGGGGCGAAGCAGGGATTGCGGGTAGCTTGTGCTGTGCTCCCGGGCTTCTGCTGTTAGAGAGTTGCTGTGTTTCTACATAATGGGGACTGTTGGTTGGTGGACAGATCAACACGTCACGCTTTGCTGACCGCGCCCCCCCACCCCATGTTCAGTATGTAGCTTGTTGGCCTTTGCTGTTGTTCTCATTTTTGGTTTTTTGTTATCAGCCATTCTGAAGTGAATGTTTTCACGCACAAGGCTTTTTCCTACTCCTGACATGTTGGTCAGTGTTGCTTCCCCTGAAGCGTTGGCTCTGGCTCACGGGGTGATTGTTTTCTACTGGGACCCGCGTGTCGCGACCTGCCGTGTGAGTCAGGGCCTCCAGAGAAGCAGAACCAACAGGGGGGACTCCCCCCCCACCCCTTATCCATGGGTCCACTTGCCATGGTTCCCTTTCCGTGGTTTCAGTTAACCATGGCCGACCATGGTCCTGAGCAGGTGCTGCTTCTCCTCGTGGATCATCACAAGGTCGGTGGTAGCCTGGCCCATGTCATTCACCCCACTTTGTCCCACTGATGCCAGCAGGCGGGGTCCGAGGACCCAGAGGGTTCCCACAGGACCAGCCAAGGGGGTCCCCAGCTGCATGCAGGTTAGAAACCCAGCACGAGCCAGCAGGACGTGAAAGCAGAGTTCAGTGAAGGCATAGAGTGTGCAGGTACAGAGTGTGAGACCCAGAAAGGGTCTGGGGGTTTTTACTGAGGACGGTGGTCTGGTGTCTGCCATCTCTCAGGCATCCAGGAGCCAGTGAGAACAAAGATGAGGACCCAGGTGTTATTCCCGGGAGCCAGGGGGACTCGGCATCAGGACGTCTAGCGCCGTGGTGTGGATTACACAGATGATGACTTCCTCCGGTCATCCTCACCAGGTCCTTCCTTAGATGTTATCTGCACTCAAGAAATCATTAACTCCTTGTCTCCTACAAGGAAGACGTGTGCTGTTGCGTTGGGAGGCGTGCGTAAAGTGGAGACCCAGGTCCAAGCAAGAATAAGAGCAAAAAGCAGATTTTTTAAAAAAGAAGACTTATTTATTTGAAAGAAAGAGAGAGAGAGCGCACAGAAAGGCAGAGAGAGAAGCAGATTCCCGGCTGAGCAGAGAACCCAGGACCCAGGATCATGACCTGAGCTGAAGGCAGACTCTTAACTGACGGAGCCTCCCAGGCGCCCCCCAAAGCAGATTTTTATGGAGTCCTTCAGTTTCCCTGTCTCATCATCTGATAGGCAATTTGTCATCTCACGCCATCACAAGAAGGGTGACTCCAGTACAGTGTGATGTTTTGAGAGAGAGAGAGGCCACATTCACATAACCTTTTATTGCAGATTATAGTTGTAATTGTTCTATTTTATTTTATTTATTTTTTAAAAGTTTATTTTATTTTACTTATTTTGTTTGAGAGAGAGAGAGAACATGAATGGGAGGGGCAGAGAGAGTTTTTTTTTTTTTTAAAGACTTTATTTATTTATTTGACAGAGAGAGACTACAAGCAGGCAGAGCAGCAGGCAGAGAGAGAGGGAGGAGTAGTTTCCCCATGGAGCAGGGAGCCCGATGCGGGGCTCGATCCCAGGGCCCTGGGATCATGACCTGAGCTGAAGGCAGCTGCTCAGATGACTGAGCCACCTAGGCACTCCAGGGCAGAGACAGTCTTAAGCAGACTCCACGCTGTGTGGGGCACCTGAGGCGGGGCTTGATCCCACAACCCTGAGAACATGACTCAAATTGAAATCAAGAGTCGGGCATTTAACCAACTGCACCACCCAAGTTCCCCTTCTATTTTATTATTATTGCTGTTAATCTTTAAGGTGCCTAATTTAGAAATTAAAGGTTATCAGAGGTGTGTGTGGATAGGAAAACACAGCGTATGTACAGGGTTCAGTACTTGGTGCAGTTTTAGGATTTCAGGAATCCCCTGGGGGTCTTGGAGTGTATCTCCTATAGATAAAGGACAGAACTACTGTCTGTCCATCCGTACCTGTCTGTCTAGATTTGTTTTAAGGAATTGGCTCACGTGATTGTGGAAGCTTGATGGGTCTGGAATCTGTAGGGCAGACCAGCAGCCTGGAGACCCAGGGAGGAGGCCGGCTGCTGGCAGAATTTCTTCTTTGGGGGACCTCGGTCTTTTCCTTTTACGACCTTTAACTGATTGCATGAGGCCCAGCTGAACTGGGGAGAATGATCTGATCTACTCAAAGTCTAGTGACTGGAGTGTTCATCTCATGTAAACGTACCTTCACAGAAATGACTAGAAGGACGTTTGGTCAGACATCTTGCTACCATGGCCTAGTCGAGTGGACACAGGCAGCCTCCACATTCTGTGTGTCTGTGGGTGAGCACGTCTCTGAGTCTATTCGCTGTGTGTTGTGGCCTCAGACACAGTCATTTCTCTTCCTACCAGACTATGCCACTGAGGGAGGCCTGAGGGGGAGGCCAGCTTGCGAGCCAGGGTAGCCGCCGCGGGCATTGTGATGTGTGACACACAAAACAGTGCAGGGGCACCTCTACAGGGCCCCGGGCCCTTCAGGGCCACTGGGCCTTCTGCAGATTATGGGCAGCCTCTCCCTGGCGTAAGGGGGAATCTCGATTGAACATTCTGCAGAGCGTCTTGGGGAGGAGCAGAGGAATGATGACATGGCCTACTGAGTAATCCTTTCATTTTGATTCTGAGCTAACGTTCACACGAAAGGTCTAGGAGCCTGGAGGGGCCAGAGCCTGAGCAGCTAACAGCACCGCCAGGTTCGTGAGGGACAGGCGGCCCGGCCAGGAGACACCCGCTGTGGATGCGACGGCTCTGGCCACGGCAGTGCTCTGATGGTCTCTGAAGTGCTCTGTTGGCCTAGAGCTGGGTTTAGTCTCTCTTCGCTGGCAATTAAAGCCCCTCCGATGACCGAGGAAAATCTAGTCCCTCCCGCCTCAATACTTACCAGTGTTTGCTTTGCATTTTGTTTTTGTTTTTCTTCAAAGGGGGTAATATCTTTATTATAGAAAGAGGTTTTCACTTCTTATGTGACCTCTGACACCTGTAGGGAAGTGGGATGAAAACATAATTCAAACAGAATCACAAACAATAGGGACAAACGTTACACCTCACTAGCAACTGAGCAAGTGCACAGTGCTTCCGGACACTGCATTTTGCCACGATTTAGAACTGGATGAAAGGAGAGCGCCCGGTTAGCACCTTGGGGGAGTGCTTGCTCGCGGCGGGTCCCAGTTGTGTAGTATGTTCGGGCACACAGGAGGTGCCAGGGGCATCTTCACGATCCTCGCTGCTGGCCTGTAGTGTTGACAGCCCTCCGGGAAGACAGTGTGATACAGAGTCCGGAGCCTCAGAAATGTTTATCCCACTTGATTTTGCCATTCCCCTGCTGGGACTGTGCCCTGAGGACAGAGTCTCGGGAAAAAAGGTGACTGGGTCTAGATACCAAAGTCCACCTTTCAAGAAGCAATACTCGGGAGCCGGGAGCCGACCAGCCTTAGACCTGCCTTAACGGCCGATGATGTGTAGCTCACTTTGGAACATCTTAACGTTTCAGGTCGCAGACTTCTGTCTTTTTAGATTAAATTTTTAGTTTAATTTAAAATTTTAAATTTTTAAGTGTTGTATTTATTTGTCAGAAGATAGAGAGAGAGCACAAGCAAGGGGAGCGGCAGAGGGAGAAGCAGTCTCCCCGCTGGGCAGGGAGCATGAGGCAGGACTCGATCCCAGGACCCTGGGATCAGGCAGACGCTGAGGCCTCAGGCCTGAGCCAAAGGCAGACACTTCACCAACTGAGTCCCCCAGGCATCCCAAGTTCTTAATTTTAATCCCAGTATAGGTACCAGAGTGGTCTATTAGTGTTGGGTGTATACTGTAGTGATTCATCAGTTCCCCATGACCCTGCGGAGTCTTGAACATTTGTAGTGACCTTCTAGAGTATCTCAGTAGTGTGAAGACCAGTTTAGGAATGAATATTGAATGACAAAAGCCAATGATAAATCCTTCATTGAGTTTCATTAGGACCTCCTAAAGAAACATATGGGGTCGCCTGGGTGGCTCAGCCCATAAAGCGTCTGCCTTCACCTCAGGTCATGACCCAGAGTTCTGGGATCGAGTCCCACACTGGCTTCTTGCTCAGCGGGGAGCCTGCCTCTCCCTCTGCCTGCTGTTCTCTCTGCTTGTGCTCGTTGGCTCTGACAAATAAATAAATAAAATCTAAAAAAAAAAAAAAAAAGAGGGAAGTGCTAAGGACAGAGTGTCTAAGTCAGTTTTGGTTTGGGTAGTGTGGTTTTTGGTGTAGTCCCCGCCCCTCTCCTCTTTTTGGCATTTTCTGGGTTTTAAAATAAGCATCTCTTTTTCCTAATGAAAAGCAACACCTGTTATCACTAAGCCGACTGTGGCACCCTGCTCGGAATTGGTCTTTGCCTTAGGAATCACTTCAGTGTAAATCATTTTGGGGGTGGCCTCGGTCACTTTTGCTTGGGTTCTCAAACCTCAGCTGACAGGGCCTGGCTTGACCTGAGCCCTGCCTGTGTTTCTGGAACGTGGCAAAATTTCCCCTCAGAACAAAGGGTGGAAAATCCCATCTGCCTGGAGCCTGCGTAGTGGCCCCTGCAAGGATGGGTGGTTTTGCTGCCTTCTCCCAAGGGGCTCACTGGGGAGTGACCTGTAGGATTCATGGACGGATTCTGCCCAGGTCTGTCAGGGTTATTTCCCGTTTCTTGCTCACGTCTGACCAGAGGCTAGAGAGGGCTGACAGGAAGATCTCGAAGTGGCCTCTGGAAGGCCCTGACAAAATAGCCTCCAGGCCAGATCCTCCCCCAAGCTAAGAATGGTGGTTACTCTTCAAAGGGCTGTCAACAACAACTATGGAGAAGAGTACTTGTGGCCCGGAAGCCTACACTCTTTCCTGTCTGGTCCTTTATGAAAACAGTTGTGTTGATCCCTGCTCTAAACCAAAAGAAACACGACACGCACCATGCCACATGGTGAGCAGCAGCCACGAAGCCCACTGTAATCGGATTTGGAAGGCATGGTCTCAGACCCTGAAGCCTTGGTCCCATCCAGGATGCTGAACTTGGACAAGTCCCGTAACCTCCTACACCTTGCGTCTCCCGTTTCCCTCCCCTCCCTTCCCCCCTTCCCTCCTTCACCTCCCTCCTGTCCTTCCCCTGTTAACTAGGTAGGACTATGATCTGCTTTGGACTTTTTACAGCTGAGTTGCGGAGTGATTCTATAAACTTTAATGTCCCCTGCAACTACAGCCTTGTATTTATTAATGGTTCCTCGTCGTCTATCGGCAAACGATACAGTGGGCAAATCCTTCCCAAACACACTGAGCTGAAGCAGCTAGCGTGACAAAGATAGTCTAGGTTGCCTTTGTCCTTCGTGGATAAGGTGATGATGTAACAGGTCATATGAGCCAGGGTAATGGTTAACCGGATCCCCTTTCTTGGAAGGGAACCAGACACGATATGGTCTGATTCTGCTGTTTTACTGACGAGGTTTTGAGAACCAGCGAGATGATGGGACACTAACCCCAGGTCACATGGCTGACATCATTTCAGAGCTGGGGACGCCGTGCTTTCTCCTGCTTCAGAACTTGGCACCTGCTGTCCCCTCACCAAGCATCCCCCTTGTCCATCCTCCTCTTCCCTCATCTCACCCTGTGCCCTCACCTTCAGCTCTCACCTCTAACCTGTGGCCTTCCTGACCAGCTCCGCGACTCTGAACTGCTGTCTTACGTCTTGCAGAATTGTGTGATTCACGTCCGGGTCCCCCACCAGACTGTAAGCTCCCAAGGGCAGGATAAACCCCATTTATTTGCTGGCTGTTTGGGCAGCACAGGATATATGTGAGCACAGAGCCTGGTCCGTAGTAGGTGCTCAGCGAACTCTGGCTGGAGGAATGAAGGCACGCTGTCGGATCTGGACCGCACGCTCCCGCTCCCAGCCTGGGCCTCCCGTCTTCAGTCCCGTCACGGTCTGGTTGGTTCCCAAGAGGGAACTTAAGGGAGGCCTGGCAGATGCTTGTGGTGGTCTGAGCCCTCGGAGGCTCTTCTGTCTGTCACGCAGCTGTATTCTCTCATCTTAGGCCTCTGGATGCAGACACCCACCTCTCCCAGATGCACAGCTGGGCTCCCCTGCAGGTGCTCCACGGCGATGCCGATGTCCTCTTCCCGGTCAGCGGAGTGGGCTCCTACAGCCCGGCAGGTGGGTGCTTCCTGATTCCTCCCTCCCTCCATTCATGTGCTTTGGCTGGAGTGTCTGGGTTCCCTCTGCAGACAGGAGGGAGCAAAGAGGCACGGGGCTCAGGGCAGGACTGAGGGTTTGGCTTCTCTTCTTGCTGACCCTGAGTGTTTGAGTTGCTCCCTCCCGAGGGAGGATTGGGCCAAACCAGCTGACAAGTCACGAAGGAGCCCCTGAGCCTATTTGTTTTCCTTACCAGTAGGTTTTGGGGAACTGGGCACGTACAAGCTGACCACAAATGGTAACCATTAATTTTGCCTCTTAGGGAGAAAGTTAACAGAACTCATAGCTCGGAAGGCCCCTGTACCCTTTGTAGCAAAGTGCTGGAGGGTCAGAGAGCAGCCTGCTTAGAACCTGCCGGTGGGGTGGTAAGCGTTTCCAGCGCCTTCCGTTTGGTTGAACGTGCTCTCGTGTGGTTTGTCGTTTTTTTCCTTGAGCTAGAGCAGGTCGCGGGGAGTGGTGGAGGTGGGGAGGAACGTGTGTGTGGATGAGCCCGGTGTGCCCAGAGGGCGAGTGTGCAGTGCAGCCAGTGCGGTGAGTGGCACGGTGCAGTGCTGGTGGCTGTCCCTGGCCCACGGCCCCCGGCCCCCCACCCCTACACAGGCACCGCCTCCCCCTCCCAGGGCCAGGTTTAAGAAACCATCACGGTTTCTGGACGGCTCAGGAAGCTGTTGACAGTCTGATCACCAGACTCTCTGTTGATGGACTGTTGTTTTTGTCCCAGGCAGGGGACGGAAACTCGCTCAGATTGCTAGAGTGCAGAGCAGGTGGGCCGCTGACCAGCAGCCCTCTCGAGTGGCGCTCAGATAGCCCCGCCCCAGGAGCCGCAGGAGCTGAGCAGGGCGGGTGACCTCTCCCGAGTGGCAGTGTCCTCCACGGACGCTGGGGCTCCTGAGCGTGCAGGGCGACGTGACTCCGTCTGCTGGGCACATCTCTCTGGAAGGTGCGGCTGCTGGTGGTGATGGCAGCTGGCATGTAGCAAGCCCGTGGAGTGAGCCCCAGCCTGGAAGGTGGCCCATTCGGACCAAGGCATCCTCTCTCAACCACAGCCTGGGAGGAAGGGCAGAAGGCTCCCCAGGCTGGCATGGGGCCAGGTGCCAGGCTAAGGCCCTGTGAAGCCTGCTGTCAGCCCTGCGGCAGTGGTGGGACCCCTGCTGTGGGGCGTCTGTGGACCGGGAGCTGGTGGTCGGAACAGAGGGTGCTCCCGTGTCTACCCTGTTGTGCGCCCCACTCTTCCTTAGGGGGTCTGCCCCATCTCCTCTTTCCTTTGAGAGGCTTTGCTCTTTCTTGCCACTCTTGACCCCCCCCCCCCCATTTGGCCTCTGCTGGATGGCCCTCCCGTACTAGCAGGAAATTCTTCCTGGGTCTCCACTGATGTCCCCTGGGGGGGCTGGGCTGGTGGCTTGAGCTGGTGTCTGCAGGCCAGGCCAGCGCCAGCTGCTGTGTTCCCCAGGGGACCACATGTGGCCCAGACGGCCAGTGGGCGGGCTTGGTTACCTTGCCAGGGCCCATCAGGGGCACTGCTCTCTCGGACAGGGTGCGTGAGAAGAGGCGGGGCTTGCAGAGAGCAGACGGTCCTGACCCAGCTCTGGGACCACATGACTTCCACCTGCTGACCCAGGGCCCCACTCGCCTTGTCTCCCTCCCCACCAAGGAGGCCACCGGTCGCTGGGGTGTCAAGGTGCCTGCACTTGGTGTTCGGTTTTGTTCCCAGTGGCCCCTTCCTTTCTCAGCTGGGCTCCTCTCGACTGTCAGACCTGGGGGTGAGGGCTGTTCTGTTGGGTTTAATCTTATGGAGCTCAGCGCTCTTCCTCCCTCTGTGGGCTCTCCTTCAGGGAAAGGAGCTGCTGGCTGGCCTCCAGCGTCCTCACGGGAAGGCGTCCTCCTGGCAGCTTTCCTGCGGTCCCACCTCTGCCTGTCACCCTTCCAGACCTGGAGGCTTCATCTTGTCACTGTCGTGGGACCCCGAGCCCCAGCGTATCTTGATTATCCTCATCAGAGATGCTGTGTGTGAGCCGGTCTGCCAACTTTTTAATTTACTGTAGTAACAAAGCTGCCAGGAGTCCTGGAAGCTGGTGACAGCCTCGGGGGCAGAGTCGCTGTGGGTAAGAGTTGCATAGGAAGACAAATGATGTGTGCGCTGCAGAAGATACTAGAATCAGAGCCGGGGGAGTCTGCTACCTGATTGGAAGGCCAGGTTGCTTCAAGTCCCTCCTGGCCTGATCCCCTTTTCCTTGGGGGGCCTTTGCCTGGGCAGCTGTGGGTGCACTGTCAGCATGTCTCTCTCAGACTGCTGCTCTTTTGCTCATCTCTGGCTGCTGTCCCTTCTGAGCGATACCCTCGCACTCGATCAAGGTTAACAGCTTATTCTCTCTCACTCTAGCCCGGGAGCCATTTGTGTCTCACGACAGCTTTGCACACAGAGGGCTCTACCCTTAGGAGACCTTCCCAGCATCTTTGAAAGTGCTGGTGGCCATGGCTTCGCTGCCCTGGGGGGCTTTTAGCGGGAGCGGGAGGGAGGCCCGTGGTGGAGAAGGAGGAGTGATTTGGTAGCTAAATCTGGGAGGGAGAACGTGGCAGAGGAAGGGGCTCTCAACACACAAATTATCCTTCTTCTGCTTCTTGGATGAGGAGGCTTTGTGGACAAGGGGGCCAGGCTTTGGAGCTGCGTTTCTGGGGTCCGAGGCTCGGAGAAGGATCACACCGATCAGGGTCACACGAGACCCGGGTGGAGGGTTCGCTTCAGTCACTCCTCTGGGCATGGCCGTTACCTGCACACAGCAGAGCACGTACACCGTCATCTCTCTGAAGCCACAGGGGAGCGCACCCCCGAGGTTTCTTTCCACACGAGCACTCGCCGGAGGTGGGAGGACACCCGCCTCTACCCGCTGCACGCATGAGAACGTTACAGCTCCTCTCCTCCCCGAGGGTCCTGGGCTTAGTGTTGGGTTTCCGCAGATTCAGAGTCCGTTTCTGAGGGCGTGTTTGTTCATTTGAAACCTTGGGTCCCCTCACCAGGTGTAACGCTCCTCAGCTCCGTGTCCCACCGCGGGGCCAGCGGGCTTCCTTGGTGACGTTGGGGCAGCTCTGTGGCCGCGCTGCTCCACTCTGAGGTGGTTGATCTGGGCTCGCGGCTCCTGGAGGGTGCTGGAACCGCCTGCGGTGTCAGGGGACTGTGGTGCCCACCCGGCCTGTGTGCTGTGTGGTCCCCACCCCTTAGGTGGGTCCTGTGCCTCTCAGGGCTCATGGTTTTCTGTACGCCACTGGCGGGTGGCCCTGCTCTGCGCCAGCACCGTGCTGGGCTCTGGGGGGATCCAGAGGTGACCCCCCCCCCGGAGTTTTGCAGGCAAGGGGGGGCCAAGGCACATCAACAACTCTCCCTGCTTCTGCTCCTGCCCCCACCCTGGCTGTTCTTAGAGCAACTGGAGGGATTTCTTAGGGCACACATCAAATTGCGTCATGCCCTTGCTCCGAACCCTTCTAGCGCAGTGAGGATAAAATCCAGAATCCTCATGGCGGCCCCCCAGTCCCCAGCTCAGTGCACAGCCTGATCTCCCGTTTCTCTTTAGCTCCAGGCCCCTAGCCACGCCTGCCTGCTTCCACTTCTAGTCTCTCTTCTCCTGCCCCCTGCGCACATCCTTCAGGAGGCAGCCCATGTGGTGGTGGCTCATTAAGGGCTCCTCTGTCCCCTCCTCTGGCAGGCCAGGTCTCACATTCACACTGCCGGAGACGTCCTGTATCCCCTGTGCCCTGACCTCAGCTTGTAACCGTGTGTGTGGGTGTGTAATCACCTGGCAAGTCCTGTCCCCCTGCTACTCTCTGAGATCTGTACGGGCAGGTCCATGTCTGCCTGGTTCCAGTGTGACCCTGACCCAGGCCAGAGCTAGGCACACAGTGAGGCGCTCAAGGATCCTTTGCCGAGTGGGTGAGTGGTGGGTGTGCAGAGTCCATGGGGATGGGGCATGCCGAAGGGAGCGGACATCTGGCAGTTGGAAAAAAATGTGGTCCAGGTGGAGACGCAGTGTAGGCAAAGGAATAAGGCAGGGAGTGCAAGGACCCGTAGAGGGAGAGTCACGTAGCTCAGATCTGCTGTGAGAGAGACCGTGAAGTGGGGAAGGACTCAGCTATGCCGCTGGGCACAGTGCGGTTCAGACCCTCGCATGTTAGCTTGCGATCTTGGGCAGATCACAAGTCCTCCAGGGCCATCTCCACCTCTGTAAAATTAAGGTAGTAGCACGCCCCTCAGAGGGCGCCTCGATGGTGAGTGACACAGCCTGTGTGAGCACTTGCTCTGTGGCCCCAGTGTGTCAGGCCCACTGCCGCCTCCCAGCTCACGGGGGTGTGTTCTGGTGGGACATCCCTGGGGCCGAGTAGACCTGGGATCTGAAATGCTGGTGGGTAATGGCGGCCTTTCCTCCAGCTATGGAGTGCTGCTGTGCATGTTGGAGTCCCCGTTTTTGCTCCAGGGAGAGGAATCCGACAGCTGTGAGTTGGATTAACAGGTGGGACAGGACTGCGGGGACCCTCTGTGGGAGACGCCTAGAAGGTATGGAGCCTCAGCACTAGGGTGGTGGTGGACACGACTGTGGACAAGGAATGGCGGATACGGGGCACCTCGAGCTCTGTGGTGGGGGGAGGTGACGGCCCCGTGGAGAGGGTGTCAGACGGGAGCGCTCTGGACAGTCGTGACCAGGCGGTGGGCCCTGCAGGCGTCCCAGTAGAGCTTCCAGGCAGGCAGCGAGCCCCGTGGGATGAGGATTCAGGATTGAGGTCCCAGCCACAGGCGCGTGTTTGGGACGTTGTCCTCTTCAACCTGCTGGCAGCTGGGGCCAGGACCTTGCTGGGTTTGCCGAGGGGGCAGAGGCCTCTGAGCTGCGATCCAGAGATGTCTTCACAAGGGAATCAGAGAAAAGGCTGTGAGGTGGTGTGTGTGCGTGTGTGTGTGTGCGTGTGCGTGCGTGCGTGTGTGTGTGTGATGAGGGCGAGAGCCTGTGGTAGGTGGGCGGCGTTCCAGAGCGAGTTGCGCTCGCAGTCACCGAGTGTTCCCGCTGAAGCATGCTTGTGTCACAACATGAGTTTAATCATGCGGTTGGTATTATTAAGATGTCGTATGGTAGCCGCTGGTGTTAGCCCTTCCCTAGTCAAGGAAGCTGAGTCACAGAGAGGCTAGGTTTAACGCTGGAGGCAGAGCCTGGCCCTGTAAACTCACCACAATGCTCAGAGGAGGGCAGGGGAGGCCGAGGGGGACACACTTGCTGTTTTCCTCTCAAACTTCTTTAAAAAAAAGAAAAAAAAAAAGAATAGCAAGTGGAATAGCTTAACGGGGACAGCAGTGTCAAAGAGACATTTTCTCTTCAGGGTTCCCTGAGTAGAGTCCCTTAAGAACTGGGGAATCTCAAGCAGGAGGAGGAAACTCAGATGAAAACAGGAATGGCAGGGAGGCGGCCTCGGAGCTGTGGGCCCTGTGGTGTGCCCCATCCCCCATCATGGCCTGGCTCTGCAGTTGGCCTTGAGAAGCGGGGAGTGTCTCCAAAGGGCACGTGTTACCATGGCTGACACCGGCCTTCATGTCACCATCCAGCCTAAGGGCCGTGGCTTTGCACTTTTTTCCGGAAAGAGATCTGAACAGCCGCTAATACATTTATGAAGATCTTTAGTGCCTCTAGAGATTATCTGTGGGCTCCCTTCTTCTGAATGCCTTCCCCACACACCCCTCAGTGTGGGGAGGCATCTTTCTAGAAAGCAGCAGGGCACTTGGTTTTGATGCAGGCAGACATGGTCAGTGGTTGGACTGTGCTGCCCCCTTGCGGCTGTCGTGGGCCACTACAGTGAGAGCGGTTTTGTCCATCAGAAAGCTGATTATTATTCCCTGATTCTGAGGCTGGCTCTGAATATGGACTTCACGCACAATTCCAGGTGGCTCAAGGTCAAAAAGGTTAAGTGGGAGGATGGGGCCTCGTATCAGTGACTGCTGCCACATCTGAGATGATGGCCAAAACCACGAAACAAGTAGCAGATTAAAATCCATTGTGCAGGTGAGGAAACATTTTAAGTCGACTGATTTAGCAGATGAGGCAGTGTCTGCACTGTGTCCTTGCCTCACGGAGAGAATGAGATGAAAACAGACAGCTGACTTTCTCTCTGCGACTGCTCTCTCTGCACAGATGCCCCCCTTGGAAGCCTGGAGAACGGGACAGGACTGGAGGACCACGTTCTCCCGGAGCCCGGCCCCCGGTACAGGTCAGTATTCTGGAGCCAGATTGCCTTTGGGATTGAGTTGTCTTGTTCACAACTGTGCGTTTTATTCTCTTTTAAAGATCGGAGTGCACCTGCCGGGTTGCAAGGTCAAGGCCTTCACGTGTATGTCCAGGTTTAGCTTAGATCATAGAACGTGAAGTTGCCAAGGGCGTCAGAACCTGAGAGACGGTGTTTAGCAAACTTCATTTGCATTCCGCCTTTACTTTTATGGTTTTGGGGGCCATGCCTGGGTGCCTCCTCTCCCATTATGCTTGATGTTAGCATTTGATCACAATAAGGCACGATTTGATTATATAATGTCTGAGCCACTTAGCTCTTCCTGTATTTGAGAAGTGCTGAGTCTGGCATATGGTAGTATGCCCTGTATGGGTTTCCTGCTTTTCAAACAAAAGTGTCTCAAAGGGAAACAGCTGCTCAAAGTCCCTGGATGTTGGGTGGCAGAGCTCAGATGGACACCGAAATCTCCCCAATACCCCGGGAGCCTCGTTACTCTTCCAGTTTTTCTCTCTATGCTTTTAATTTGGTACAAACTTGGGTGAATAGGGATAGATCCCATCTGCATTTTCAGCCTTAGCTCCGGGGTGGGAGTCCCTGATGACCCCGAAGCGTGCTTGGTGTTATGGACAGGGCTCTGCTCCCCGACAGTGACAAGGCCTATAGGTTTCTGCATAGTTTGCACACAGTCAGGGAGGACTGGGGTTACCAGGTCCCTCCAGGATGCGGAGTCTTTTTTGCTGTTTATTTTAGACAAATACTGAGTATTGATCTCGGGGACACACACAGACTTCGGCGAGAAGGCACATTTGCAAGTAGGGAATCCACACATGATGAGGGCTGCCTCCCGGGCTTTTAGCAGGTGCACCTGAGTACCCTTATACCTGCTCGGTTTTTGAATGGTGACGTTGTATATTTTGAGTGGCCGAGTGTAACTTCCTTCTGTCTGCCTTCTCCCAGTGTGGAAGCCAGTCCTCCCGGCCAGGGAAGCCCTCTGAGCAACCTGTTACCTTCCGCCTCCGTGCCAGAATCGATGACAATTGGTAAGTACTTTCTGAGTGTCCTCCACCAACACTGGGTGAGCCTTGGGCCTGCACATCAGTGGAGTGCCTTTGCCCTTGCTCCTGTGTGACTGCGGACTTCATGCAATGCGGGGTAGAGCCAGGTGTGTGTGTGTACCTGGTCGTGGAATCGAAATGTGGTGTTCGGAGCTAAGCTTCCTGAGCTACAGCTAATACCCGGTGCTTGGGTGTGTGCACGCTCTAGAGGACAGGCTGCAGAGATGGAGCAGCACTGAGCCAGAGGGAAACTTGTGTTGTTTAAGGTTTGGGGGTTTGCATCCTGGAAGGTTGTCAGCTACAGAGGAATTGTGCTAGTTGGATTTCCTTTGTAGCTCTGGAGGAATCCTTTTTGTGAGGAAGGAAGAGTATGTCTCTATGTTCATCAGACACTGGGACTCCTTCCATCTAGCCTCATGGTCCAAAATGGCTGTTGTGGCTCCAGCCATCCCATTCTCCTCCCAGGTAGCAAGAAAGAGGAAGGAGCAAAGGAGAGACTTCCTCCATTTCCTTAGGTAGAATTCAGGGTCTGAACTTTCTTAGGGAAAGAAATTACAACTTTTTTCTCTAGCTTTTGCCTGAAATGTACATTGCCTTCAGTTATGAAGGTAGAAGCAAACCATAGAAACCATAGCAGTTTAGCAAAATGGGTGATTTTGCTTTGTGAAAGTCACAGGCGCCTGTGAGAACCATGACATGAACAAAATCTCAGAATGTTGTTTCTCCTGGACAACAATGCGATAATAAATAATTCTATGTATTTCTCTATCACTTTTATTTTTTTACATTTTGATAGTTCTTTTTCAATAGAATCCATTTCCTTTGTAGTCTGGTGTGTTTTATGTGTTTTGAACTATTTTTTGAGAAGAGGCCCATGGGCCTCACTGAACTGTAGAGTGGGCCCAAACAGGTGGTACAGAACAGGTGGCCCCGTCCCAGGAGGTGCACACAGTAGCCCATCGGCATGGCCCGAATCAGCCCCATGGCCTCCCCTGGCTGCTAGGGAGGCAGAGTCCTGTCCTGCTCCCCAGTAGGGTTTTCACTGCTAGGGAAGGAAGAGCGGAGTTTGGGAGCTAGCCGGCATTCTCTGAGTGGGGGATGAAGAAGGAAGTGACCAGACTCTGTAGGGTGGGCGCTGTGGGAATGACCAGTCTGTGTCTGTAATGAAAGTGTGTGGTTCGTCACGGCTGGAGTTCAGCCGTGTGGTTGTCTGTAGATCGACGTATGTGGGACACCCGGGGTAGGAGAAGTCGCTGGCTTCCAAAGTTCTGTTACTTACTATTTCTTTGAAGATTTTATTTATTTATTTATTTATTTGTCCGAGAGAGAGAAAGAGAGAGAGAGAGCACAAGCAGGGGGAACGGCAGGCAGAGGCAGAGAGAGAAGCAGGCTCCCCGCTGAGCAAGGAGCCTGATATGGGACTCTATCCCAGGACTCTGGGACCATGACCTGAGCCGAAGATAGCAGCTTCACTGACTGAGCCAGCCAGGCGCCCCAGTTCTGTTACTTATTTACTGCTGTATTAGTTCTTACCCTGCAATGCGTTTTTTTTTTTTTTTTTTTTTAAGTGGGTGCACTTAAGAAAACCTGAATGCCTTTACTGGAAAAGGGAACTTTGCACGAGTATAGTAAGTGGAGAGCCACTGTCAGTTGACGGAAATGGCAGGTAGCTGAAAATTAAGACATTGGAGAGGACCCAGTATGGAGTCAGCCTAGATTTCATTGCCTGGCCCAGCTTCTGTCCGCCCCCCCCCCCCCCCATTGCTGGAAGGAGAGGCGAGTGACTGAGCAGCAGCACGAGGGGCTTGGAGATATCCTAGTGCTAAACTCAGACCTTTTTCTGGGGAGAAACCAGAAGGATTGAGAACACCCAGCAGCCCTCTTGTTGGGGGTCCCTGATCCTTTCTGCCTCGTCTTTCTGCATCTGCAGTGCTCTCTCTCTGAGTGGGTTACACCTTGTGTAGAGATCCCAGACTTTTTTCTGGCTCTCAGGTGTTTCTGCTCCAAAGAGCACTGGGTTTTGCCTTACTTAGGTTTGTCTCGTAAAGAACAGCGCCCCCGAGCTTGCGGGCTCGCACACCAGGCCTCGCCCTTGTCAGGGTGCAGGAATCTTTGGGCGCCCCAGCAGTTACGCAGCGGCATGCTTCCAGGCGGGGTTCTTGCTCCCTGGGGAGGCGCCCTCTCCTGCAGCGGACCGCCATGTCTGCTTTGTCAGAGGCTCTGGGGCCTCCTGGGCCACGTTGGGCTCGAGGAAGCAGCGGCCCCTGCTTCCACCAAAATCTCTGCCATCAGCACGCAACGGATGACCACAGTGCTGATGGTGGAGATTTTGGCTGTTCGTCTTGTCTGCACTCGTATATACCATCTTCCAGAATTGTCCATCTAGTTTTATTATTTGGTATCTTTGGCAAGTAGGGACCTACCCAGAGTTTGTCACATGAATCTCCAGATGTGTCACCACACCCACATCTTGACCCTTGATACTCTGTGTTAGTGGACTTTGTGGGCGTGATGGTGCGCTGCCTGGGGCAGGGGCTGGTGGTGCCGTGCCACCTGTGTGTGCTCTGGATGAGAGACCTGGGTTCTTAGAAATTTGGGGTGGAAGGTGACTTTGATGTGTGTCCGCCTCGTCCTGCCTCTGCCCCTGTGACATCCCAGAAAAATAAGAAGAGCGAGCCTGTCTGGGGGTCCAGGGTGTCAGCTGGGGTGGCCGTGACAGTACCACAGGCCGGGAGGCCTGAGCAACAGTCTCTCGTGCAGTTTCAGAGGCTGGAGGTCCAGGTGACCTCGGTGCTGGTTCCTGGCGAGGCCGCTATCCCTGCCTTGCAGGTGGCCTTTTCTGCCTGCTTCTGCATTCCTGGTGTGTCTTCTCTGCTTATGAGGACCCCGGCCTACTGAAATGCGGTCCCACCCTCAGGACCTCATTTAACCTTAATTCCCTCCGTAAAGGTCCTATCTCCAAATACAGTCCCATTGAAGGTTAGAGCTTCCCATGGGAATTTTGGCTGGTGGGGGCTAGGGGGCTCATTCAGTCTTGGGGAGTCCCGAGAATGTGTCCCAAGAGCTGTGCGACTCCAGATGAAGAATCCTATCCCAGCACGGGAAGCACATGGGCTTTGAGTCGGGAGATGTGTGACTCTGAGAAACCCTGCAGAGCCTGGCGGAGGGGCCCCAATTCTCTGTGACACAGAGAACCCTCCCTCATGCCCTGCCGGGTGCCTTCCCCAGCTGCACCCAGTCCTGGGTACGGGGGCCGCCCGGCACTGTGGTGGCACTAGAGTGGGGCTGTGTCATCCTCGGTGCTCGGGGATGACAGGCAGGTCCTCTGCCGGCAACCTTCCCCTCCTGGGGACCTCTGAAGTGGCACAGGGTGTGGTCCTGGGCTTTGTGGTGTATGTTCTTGTCATGAAGTGCCCAAGAGAGGTTGGCGTGGCCAGGCCCACATTCCCACTCTTTCTCCGACGCCCTTTGGTAGTTAAGACCACGCAGAGCCTGTTGGGAGGAAGTAATGATTTAGCAAAGTAGTGAAGACAGTTGGCGCTCAGGAGATCACCCGTGCTTCTGCCTCTGGGCACTTGCCATTCGGGCAGGTGTGTGTGTGTCTGCGTTCGGGGTGCGCAGGGCCGTCCGGCGGCGGGGGGGGTCTGCAGCCCGCCTGTTGCCGTCTCGGCCCGGAGGGGCAGGCTGAAGGCCGGCTGCCCAGTTCCCCAGGCTTCCCCCGGGTCTCAAACCTCTCACGGCCTGTTTCCATATCCAGACACCAGGATGCCACAAACGCCCGTTTGCCGAGAAGAGTATCTGCGTCAGAGTGGGGTTTAAGTTGTGTGAATAGCGCCGCTCTGCTTATTTATATTTATTAAATAGCCAATCTGCTTATTTGCATTCTGCTTTCTTAGCATCGTTTTCTAGCACTTTCCCCTCTTCATCTCCCTGGTCCTCCTGCCGAACGGCTGTGTAATAGTCCAGTTTACTGGGGATTTGGCGGGAGGGGATGCACCAGCCCGGTTCGATTGTTTTCTCACTGTCTTCTCTCATTATAAGGAAAAATGAGAATCAGCGCCAGCCTTGGAGGAAATTTTTTTTCTGCTCCGTGTTCCTTTGTGGTAAATTCTTGGGGTGTGGGGCGAGCAGGCCAACGGGGAGTCCCATATTCATGGATTTGTTCTCAGCTGTCTCGTGTTCCGAGGGACCGTGTTGCCAGTAGGATGACAGCTGCCGGTTTCCTTATCCTCCACCCTCCGTAGTCGCTAACATTTTTTTTTTTTTTTTTAGTTTTTTTAAAAAGATTTTATTTATTTATTTGAGAGCGCACATAAGCAGGGGGAGTGGCAGGCAGAGGGAGAAGCAGGCTCCCTGCTGCCTGACGCGGGGCTTGACCCCAAGACCCCAAGATCATGACCTGGGCAGAAGGCAGATGTTAGCCGAGTGACCCACCCAGGCGCCCAGTTGCTAGCATTTTCATGCATCTGCTACTTTGAGAGCCGGGAAAATGGCACTCAGAGGCTGGGTGGCTGTGCGCTCCCTGGAGGGGCTGTCCCCTCCAGGCCTTTAACATTTGTAACCTCCCCCCACACCCCAATTACATGGGTTGCTTATATCCTTCGTTTTGGGATCTTCAGCCCTCCAACCTCCCAACCCTGTTCTTCCTGGTGTGGAGACCACATGGGAATGGGGTACAGAGTGCTACTTGATGCTCCTGGCGCTGGTTGTGTGGCTTGGGGACGAGAACCCCCCCCACCCCTCCGTACTTACCTTGGCCAGTGTGTTAGGCAGCAAGAAGCCAACAGCCGGCCCCGGGTAGCTGCCAGGCCAGAGGGGAGGACAGACACCGGTGACATGGACAGACTCGTGAACTTTGCTGGTACATCGCAAGGGCTAGGAAGGTGGGGCACGGAGCGGGGTGTTTCGGTGTGTGTCATTAAGACAGGTTGGTGCGGCAGAGCTGAGGGTGCAGGGTGAGGGGTTTTGGCGGTGGATGGTGACGG